GCCTATTGCACCTTTAAAAACGTTCTAAAAGTGTGATTATTTGCCTTTTGAACTGTTGCTAGGCCAATCAAACTTAAAGACTTGAAGTCCAAACACACATTAAAACACAATTTAATGGGATGGTTCACTGAAAATCTGTCAGCATTTACGGACCTTCAATTGGCTCCAAAACTGTCTTTTTTCTGTTGAACACATCAGAAGATTTTTTTTAATTATGAATATTGGAAGCATTGGTATCAATAGTTTATAATGTAGGAAAACACAATTTTAGTTGATGGTCTCCAGCATTCTTAAAAATATATGGGTTCAGACTAAGTGCGGTCATAGTTGCTAACAGAATGTAAACAGAATCATTGTTGGAGGAACCATCAATTTAAACACTTACTTCATGACCTGTTCCGATAGTCTTTTCTTTTTGTCTGTCCCAAAGCTGATCTTACTGACCTTCAGCAGGCAGTCAAGAGCTTTCTGCTGTGGGAAAGTGACTGACCCATTTCACAAAGGAGTTGACAGAAATAGAGAACATAAAAGTGGAAAAAGACAAGAGCAAAGAAATAACCTGCACAAATAGACACATTTAAAAATGTATCTCCTCAGTACATAATACCCAAGATCTGTGGCAAAAAGCAAAACTGCCTCAGTTCATTTTCACCAAACGCATTTTGGGTTGCATAGAGTGAGCCAACCTGTCAAGTGTTTTACCTTGTCTTTAAGCAGCTGCCCATTTGCATTACGGTAAACATGGCCAGGCAACATGGTGGCTCAGTGGTTAGCACTGACGACTCACAACAAGAATTTCACTGGTTCAAAGCCTGGCTGGGCCAGTTGCCATTTCTGTGTGGAGTTTCCATGTTCTCTCTGTGTTGGTGTGGGTTGCCTCCGGGTACTCCAGTTTCCGCTACAGTCCAAAGACATGCACTAAAGTGAATTGAATAAACCAAATAGGCCATAGTGTATGTGTGTGCTTGTGAGAGTTTATGGGTGTTTCCCAGTACTGGGTTGCAGCTGGAAGAGCATCTGCTGTGTAAAACATATGCTAGATAAGTTGTCGGTTGATTTCACTGTGACGACCCCTGATGAATAAAGGGACTAAGCCAAAGAAACATGAATGAATGAATAAACATGGCCAATGTACAAAAAAAAAAAAAAATCAATCAATCAATTCTTATATGCATTTCAATGCTTGTGCTATGCCACCACATGCTATTTTTTGCAAACGTTTGTTTACTTCTTTTGATACCCATCTCAGGCTTTAGACCTCACTTTATATTCAAGAACATACTTGTGTAAAAGCTAGTGCAAATACCATGCAGCTAAAATTACCTGAGCTTGTAGCAGAGCAAACCAACTGAAAACATCAACTGATGCCAAATGGTTTACACTAACCAAATGATGGACTCGACTGAAAACAACAGGTAGAGGTAGGGTGCAGTTCTGTTAACACATCCATATCTGGAAAGACAGGAATAAAATAAAAAAAAATACAAACTAAAAGAGGGGTTAGAAAATCTGAGAAAAATATTACAAAACTAAAAGTAAGAGCATTTTATACGCACAGTGTAACAAAAACTCAAGAGATTAGAACAATTGTAGTCTTACCTATGATGCAAAATCAACTTTTGAAGGCTGTTGCAGGGGCACATGCGCGGACATTTTTTGTGTCTTTATTTTATTTTAAAACTATCATATCACTATCTATTTGGGTGTTTTTCCTGAGTTTTCCCTGATCCACCACGTGTTCGAACATGGCTCTTCTGGTTTCTGTCAGAGATGAAGACGCCATGGGAGACACTCTATCCCAGGCAAATGTGAGTGTTATACCGGCTGCAATAAACTTTTGGAAGCTGTTTGGACAGAACTGTGTGTAGGAATAATGTTTCCTTTTTCAAATAAACACAACAAGTCTCTTAATAGTCTAAAATTTCCTGATGTTAAAACATGATACAAATTTCAGCATTTTTGAGGCTTACCATAACATGAGGAGTGTGGTTTTCCCGGCCCACTTCATTGATTGACAGAAGCATATTAACATGTCTCCATAGTAACAGATATAAAAGTCCACAAGACAGGATTTACAAAGAAACTGGAATTAAAAGATCTGTTCTGACTCTCTGTGATCAGCTGCACCTGAAGAATGAGTTTGACAAGTTTAAAACATTTTTAAAGGAGAGCATGTTTGTTATATCCTATGTAACTTATAACTGCTGTTTCTCGGTACTGGGCATCCATTTTGTAAAACATAAGCTGGATAAGTTGGCGGTTCATTCTACTGTGGTGACCCCTGATGAATAAAAGGACTAAGCTGAAGAAAAAAAGGAATGAATAAATTCATAACCGCTGGAGTTACTAGAGCCACATAGTCAGTAAACACGTGTGAAAATAAAGGAAAAGCATCAGTAGGCTAATCGTAAAAAAGGCTTCAGTTTGCTATAGGGAACAAAGATTGGACCAATGGTAGAAAGTCATATAGCCAAACGAGGCAGTGCTGTGATTTGGGGACGCTGCAGTAGGTCAGTGTTCACCATTACATCCCTAAGGAATAAGGTTAGAAGCAGTGGTGGAATGAGTACTGAAAAATCACTCAAAATTACCATTATTTACCCAAAAATGTACTGCAAGTAGGGTAAAAGTATCTGTTGTAAATGGTACTCAAAATATGAGTAAAACGTTGCCCTTTTAAAAGTACTCAAGAGTAGTAAGTATTGAGTATTATGCTGTGAAAAGTTGATGCGTTTACATGCAGTTTGTGCAGGGATGTATTAACGTAACATTCTGTAGTACATTTCAAGAGTTCGCCCTTGCCGAGGATTGATTAAGCATGTTTGGCATGCTATCCCAGGAGAGAGCCCTGAGCTCGTGAGATCCTCAAGCCCGGGGCTCCCTCTTGTTTCAGGGCGAGGGGAGTCTGAGCTCAGGTAGGTCTCGAGAACTCCCCTGCTTGATAATAAATTGGCTATGGAGATTGTATACTGAATTCATTGCTTGCCTAAAATGATGATTTAATTTAATAATTCATTTTTGATACATGTTTTGGTCTGTGGGAGAAAACCAGAGTGCCCGGGGAAAACCCAAGCAAACACGGGGAGAACATGCAAACTCCGCACAGAAACACCGACCTGGCAAGGTAAGGTCTGAGCCGTTAACGTTCTTGCTGTGAGGCAGTGATGATAACCATTGGCCCTCTGTGCTGCCCTTATAAGGAAAAGGGAGGAGTAGGGGTGGAAGGGGGGATTTTTTTAAGACGAAGATGGCTAAAGTAAGATGCTTTGGTTATTTATAGTGATTTAGTAATCCTCTGATTGGTGGATTGTGCTTTAGTTAACGAGGACCAGCTTCTATCAATCATAAGCGTGTGCTCCTCTCAAAATTAGTTTTTTAAATAAACTTCACTTAATGATCTTCCTATATTTGTTTCTTCATTAATTTGTTCCTTCCTTCGTTCCTAGATTCATTTGTTCGTTCATTCTTTTGTTCCTTCCTTCATAAGGTCCTTTTGTTCATTCATTATTTCGTTCCTTCCTTGAACCCTTCCTTCCTTCATTCAATTGGTCCAACCTTCCTTAATTAGTTCGGTCCTTTCTTCCATTCCTTTTTGGTCCTTCTGTTCCTTCTTAATTCAATCCATTTAGTGATTAAGGCTGTTTGTTTGATTTTAGTGGACATCCTTCATTTTGTCACCAGTGATGTAGTCTATAAACATATATCTGGGTCATGGCGTGTTAAGATTGTTAACATCTAGGACATTTTTAATGCCTCCAAAAGGTTTGCCGCATTTATAAAGCGCCTATGTCTTAAGGTTGTTCAGTATGATGCTATTTGCATTTTTTATGTGCGATTTGATTGGACAGGAATTGTAGAACTGATTTTTCTACATTAGCCAATCACCAAAGACAAGAAAAAAGTGACTGCAGGTTGAAGGAAAGTAATAGAGTAAAAGTAACAACGCAGTATAAAAAATGTACAAGGAAAAGCAAAAGTACACATTTTTAAAACTACTTAGCAAACTACAATTCCTGGGAAAAACTAAATTATAGTAATTGGAGTATTTGTAATGTGTTACTTCAAACCACTGGTTAGAAGATACCTGAATGAACAAGCTGGTCCATCAATGAATTTTGTTTCTTGCCTGATGGCACGGGCATATTCCGAGTTTAAGAAGAAAATGCGAGGATTCTTGAGTGGTTCAGGGAGCATTAGACATAATTTTTGCTCATGAATAGGCTATCACAGAGCCCAGACCTTAAACTATCAGGCTATTTTGTTTTGAATATATGTGAAATAGATGTCTAAACTTAGACTGCTTGGCTAAAATGAGGATAAACTTTTAATAGACGATAAAAATCTAATAGACGTCTGAGAATAGACTATGCGTTCCCACACACCAAAGAAATCAACAATTAATCACATCTCCATTGAAGACATAATACTTAGAAAAACAATGAAGACAATTTAAGGAATGTTATGGCCTTCAAAACAACATGAGAATACAAACTTTTGATGAATGAGAGCGTTTGAAGAAACAATATTCATGTTTCCTATAATGTACTTACAATATATGTCCAAGTGGGAAGGCACAGCACCAGAATAAACATTAAAATCCACATTACAGGAAACACACACAAGATTCATTCAAGCATGAGGCATTTGTTAACAGGAGTTGAAAGCACTGCTGTCCCAAGCATGCAAGTCAGTAGATTAAAGAAAACACATGCACAATGAATCGAGCATTTAAAAAAAAGATGAACTTCTAAACTCTCCAGAAATGACTTAAACACATGATTTTTGTTTGCATTTCTAAGAGAGGGATGAAATAAAATTAACATTGCTTTGGTTTTCTGGTCTTCGGTGTCACATGATTAAAATATGCGGCATTTATTATTTTTTAAAGCATAAAAAGTAAACAAACAAGTAATGTGTTAGCAAAAAAGACATTCTAAACAAAGACAAACAAGCTCGCTAAGTATATTTCTATCACAAATCACACGCTACAGCAAAGCCAATGATGTAACAAGGTCTTTTTATTAGTTAATAAGTTTAATTAGTCAGCATTGTACAGTTAAACCCACAAATACCCTAGTGTCAACACAAACATATACGGACTTTACGGTGAATGTGTGTGTGTGCATGTGTGCGTGTATGTGTCTGTGTGTGCATATATGTGTAGTGTATAATTAAATATTTGGATATTGAAATATTGGAAGCATGGGAATTCATTTAAATACAAAGATGTCATTGTGTATGTATATATCACAAGGTTGAAGAGCTGTTTGAAATATGATGGATGCTGGTGTGTATGCTTTGGGAGCAGTAACGTGGTATGAAGTACACAGACCAGGCCGAATTACACACAACGGGGATGCATTCTAAACTCTTCAGCCCGTGTTATGATACCTCATGCCAGCACATGTTCCTGTAAGAAGCTGACTACACATATTGAGACAGTTCAGATCTATCAAACATTTGACCCATCGGTTATAATTTTTCTTCTCTATTCCTCCTTTCTCTCATTTCACAGCATCAGGTAGATAACTCCACCTACAAACAAATGCACAACAACAAAACAGGAAGGCTGAGTAAAAGCATAATCAGGATGCCATTGCAAAGAGAGGTAAAGTTTTTTTTTGTATTAATTACAACATTGTATGAGTTCAAGCATATGCACAGATCAATTGTTAAAAAAATAAATATTGTTTTATTACATTAAAAAGGTATTTTACAGTGATTTTCTTATGCATTTATATTCACTGAACTAAAAATAATATTACAAAAAAAAAGTTATACAAAAACCTATGATGCAAAACCCAACGTTTGGAAGCTGTTTGGACTGAACTGTGTGTAGGAGCTGTCATATAAACACAACAAGATTTTAATTTCCTGATGTTAAAATATTATTCAAATCCTAGCGTTTTTGAGGCCGCAACATGACATAGAAGTGCAGTTTTCTCTGCCCATTAAATGACAGGAGCATGTTAGCATGTCTTCGTAGTAATGCATATAAAAGTCCCAGAAATAGAATTCGCAAAGAAACTGGGATTAAAAGATCTGTTCCAACTCTCTGTGATCAGCTGCTAAGTTTAAAACATCTTCAAAAGAGAGCACGTTTGTAATATCGCTATGCAATTTATTTCCGCAGAAATCACATCAGGTATCACAGATCAATTGTTAAAAATAAATATCGCTATATTACATTAAAAAAATATATTACAGTGACTTTATGCATTTATGATCACTATACCTAAAAAAAAAAAACTGGAGCAAACGTTATACAGAGACTATTAGCAAATTTATGGATTTTTATTTTCTCTGACAATGGTAATCAATCAGTATTTCATGTATTTTTTATTACTTGGCTACTGAAGCAACTAAAAATTTAAAAACACATATATGTTGATTTTGTACTTTCATCACCATAACGTTGATGATAAAAACATGAAAACAAGCTGCCATTTACATTTTAACATTGACATTCATACATTATAGACCCTTTTCACATTTGCGTGTTTCTCAGTAGCGGAAGGGTAAACTTAGGGTGCTTTCACATCTGTAGTACAGTTAATTTGGTCCGGACCAAGGGCAACAAATGATACATTGTTGCATTTTCTGCAGTGTCGTTTTTACACCACATTGATTGCTTTGGTCTGAACTAGTTGAAAAGAACCAAAATTCAGTCATCTGACAAAATCCACATCACTCATTGGTCAGATGTTATTGAACGTATTTCCTAACTGCTTTTCAATCGGTTAGAATTCACGTGCAAGAAAATGGCAATGAAATTCCCTCAAGTAAACAAACCGGCAGACACAAAATGTCGCTTTTGACCATTGGGCTACAACTGCGCTGACTGATTGTATCCCTGCTCATAGTATACAATACAGTTTGTATACATCACTTTAGTCAGACTATACTTTTTGAGAATGAAGCGCGGCTGCGGCTGAAGAGCAATTTTTTTAAGGCATTGCAAACTGCGATGGCACATTGCAGGTCACTTCAGGAGGCATGAATTAATTTAGCTAAACTACAATAGTCATCTTCCGGAAATATTTCCAACGATCCAACAGGTAATGTTTTTCCCTTTCTCTCTCACTGTCAGTAAAGCGCTGTCAACAACATTTTCCTCCATATTCCATAATGCACAGCGCATCGGCCTACAGCAGCTGGATTAGTCCAAAAAGGCGCAATATTTATTGCAGATGGGTCTGTTTTAGTTCGGATCATATTCTCACCACAAACGAACCGTTCCAAAAGGGAAAACGAACTCTAGTGTCATTCAACAGAACTAAATAAGGCAGGTGTGAAAACACCCTTAGAGCGCAGTGAATCAGAGAGTACAACAAATATTTTTTTTTACAATCCCTTTCACTGAAATAATAAAAGAAAAACTCTATGATGGTGTTTTCAAGACTTTCAGAAAAAATAAATAAATGGTGCGAGACTGGTGACGGCAGACAGAGGAGAGAATAATGTCAAATTTACTCTCAGCCCCATAGATGCCGCATTAGAAACACCTTGCATAAGGTGTTTTTTGTAATTTGACGCCAAGATGATATAATACATACAAAAATGCATAAAAATGTTGATATGTTTTTTTTTTTTTAAATCAAATTATTAAAAACTTTCAAGGATTTAGGTTTATGATCACAGTTAAACACGTCATAACAGTCTTGAAAAGGGTCCTTTTCTAAATCACAGAGATGTGCCTTTCTTTATTAAACCTTTAACAATACTGAATATTTAGATCTGTGCTCAGACCACACAAAATGCAAAATACAAATCCCGAGAGATGTATTTTGGATATAAACACTACAGTCCACAGAAGTGAAATAGTAATTAAAATAGCAAATGTCCTTTTCAGGATAAAGACCAATGTACTTATTGCTTCAAATGCAGAGTGTACCAATTACATTTGTCACCATCTACTTGTGTAACAGTCAATAGCTATGTTTCTACCCAAAAAGGTGAATTACTTTTTCATAAAATGTTTGCGAATAAAGCACCCTTTCCATCCAACAAGTCAAAAAGAACAAAATCATGCTGATATACTGGAGCCATATATCTAAAAGAAAAAAAAATATTTTGCCATAGGAGAAGCCACTGTGTTTTTTTTTTTTTTTTCTTTTTCGAATACAATAATATACTTATAACTCAGAAACGAAACCCAATGAATGCACAGTGGTTTTGGGGTGTGCGAAAATGCTCTTTGTGACCACAGATGCTCAAGACAGTTCTAGAGGTAATAATATGGAACCAATATAATGACAAACTTTGGCTAAGGGATTTTAGCATGACCGAAACAACATTTCAGATGTTGTGCAATGTGGTCGGTCGCCTATTTTTTCCATTAATGCAGACCCATTGTGCTCATCATCATCACATGATCTGTTATAACAAAAAACACATCACTTTTGATGTGCATGCTAGGATTTATTCAGAAAATACAATTCCATCTAGTTCATGCACTTTTTAATAGGATAAAAAATGTATCCTACTACTCAGTTGCATGCATAAGTTTCCAAATTCAATATTCCAAAATATGAGAAAATAGGTTAGATGGAAACAAAGCTATTGACTAAAAAAGAAATGTATGTCATTAAATTAATTGTTCAAGACATTCTTTTAAATATGACAACTGAATCTGCAGCAATCAGATTTTTTTAAAAACTTCTACTACATGATGTGGAAAATATCATATTTTGTTTTGTTCACCTTTTCAGAGACTTTGTGACTAATGGGTCACCAATATTAGTACTTTGAGAAGGTATGACTAGATGTACATTGGATGGTATGATGTTTCGCTTTTTCTTCTTGTTTTCTTTACCTCCATCTATCTATTGGCTTATTTACTTATTTTCTTATTTTTAAAGTATAACTAAAATTTCTACAGCTCACATTTTTTGTAAAAAAATTGTCTGTAAAAGCACATTGTATATTTATTTTGATAATCTTAAATAAGTTTTGATGTCTATTCATAATCATGTTAAAATCAATTGTATTTTAAACCAAAACTTGGCTGTAATTCTCAATTTATGGAGAATTATGCAGCTCTACTCCACACATGAGTTGAGTTCTGGCAGTGTGAGACTCATACCGTTCACCAGTCGTAGCGTGGACGGGATTGAGGAGGATGGTGGCGTGGTGACTCGTGGCGGGGTGAAGGAGAGGAGGAGGAGGTCGGAGGTGCTGTGAGGGCCAGCTGCTGTCCAACCCCTGCGCCCCGCTCACGCCCATAATCTAAACTGCGGGCAGTAGGGGGGCGGTACCGACCCACCTCTCTCCTCCACTCTTCATCAAAGGCAGCTGCCTCACCTGAAAGAGAACCATTTCCACAATAGTGAATGGGAGAATTTCTACACAAAGGTCTGAGATGAAATTTAAGTAGTTACAGGGGGGGAATGGTAGAGAGAAAGGAGGGATTTGACTCACTCTCCTCCAGGTTGAAGAAGTCCTGCCTCTCTTCACGATCGCCTGTGAGACGGTTCCTGGAACGCTCCATCACATGACCTCTCTCACCAATGTGATGCCCAATAGACATTCGCTCCAGCCCGCTCTGACTGTCCCGCATCGTTTGACGCGTCTCTCTGATCTAAACAAACAATTCAAAAAACATTTAGGGGCGATTCAGCAGTTGTGCTCCTTCAACTGTGAGATACTTCAGTGCAAAAACATCTCCTGCATTCTCTTGGTTTGTCTGGACTAAACCAAAATTTAAATTAATCCATTTAATCCTAGCTTGGTCAGCGTTCATGCAGGGAAATTTAACACAAACCTAGAACTATACAAAAAAAATTAGTTCCTAAACAAATTTGACAGCTTGTATAATGCATATTTTGCTTTGCTAATAAGGCACTTTTCCCCATTGCTCCGTGTTTTGACCTCTGCTCAAAGCTGCGTTTGCACTGCACGTCCACATATGGTTCTGAGCAACGTAGCTCACTTTATTCAGATGGGATTATTGGTATACTTGTGCCACATTAACTGCTGCGACATTAGGGCTGGGCGATTAATCGAAATCATCATTCAGAACCTATAATCAATCTAAATTTTATAGGTCAATTATTTCAATTTCTTTTCCTACAACATGTGGGATTATGTGACTCCACTCTGTAAGCCAAACTTTGCAGCCACATCAGATCTCTGGTCAAGTAGGACGATGGACTCATTCTTGAGCCTTACTTTGGACTACGTTGACAATAATTGAAAGGTGCACCAAAGATGCCTTGAGACATATTTTCCAATACATTTAAATTATTATTTACATTAAAGTATTTGTTTACCGAAGATGCAAGAAATGCACGGTTTAAAATATTATTTGCAGGATATGCAAGAGTTATTTTATTTAAAAGATATACTGCTTATTTTCTATTTTCAATATGAAAAACTTTGAAAACAAATGTTTTATTTTTTAAAATAATAACTATTTATTTTCACTTCTTTATAAGAAAAATGTGACTTGGTTTAAGACAATGTGTGTTTTAATTTCAGTTGTTCAACTTTGATGTTCAATAAATAATCAAAGATAGTGTGTGTTTACGTCAATTATGATTTTAAAATCAAGTAATGCACTCTTCATTCAAAAATTTCTCACTTGTGATTTGTAAGCATATTTATGGTACGAAACCGTCAGTGAACTATGAAGGCAAAAAATAAATAAATGAATGAAATAAATAATGGTTCATTAATCGTAACTGAGTTAAAATGTTTAATTATGAAGATCATGGTTTAGGCCAAGTCGCCCAGCTCTATGTGGCATCATAGTAAACAACATAAACAAACGCTTGACACAAACCAACAGGTTTGCCTTGCGAACCAACCAAACAGCAGTGGCTGCTGCTGACTATTTATATATAGCAGGTTGTGTGTCTCATTTCCCAAATCAATTGTAAGTCACTTTGAACAAAAGCATCTGCTATATGACTAATTTTGTAAATCCAGAGACGCTGATAGTGGCGATCCTCTCAAAACAAATTGATGATCTGCAGTGTGTACACATCACGTTTTGATAATGGAACAACTTGCTTGGAACATCAAGGAGGTACTACTAAAAGTATCAAGTACTAGGTACAAAACACATTGGAAAAGCCCCCAAAAGTAAGCTGTACCAAACCAAATCATGTCGTAACATGCAGAGGAAAAGTGGCTTTTTACACCGTTTTGCATACACCATTCTTTTGGCGTCATCAAACCTTGGATTTGTAGCAATGCAACATTTTGTTTTTGCTTTGTTGAGTTTTTGGCAAGTGTTGCATTTATTTTTTTTAGTCGAACCGCTTCAGTGTTTGTTAGAAAGCGGTCATATTCTATTAGCTGCAATGAAATTGTACACCAAAATTTTTTTTTTACATTTTTTTTGTGCATTTTTTAAGCTACTATCGAAACTCATAATGTTTATCTTCAACCACAAACTCTCATATTATCCACCAGTTGGAAACTACGCCGATTTAGATGTCACAACATATTTAATACAACTTGCAGATCTAAATAGAAGCTGCTAGTAAGTCATTCACGTGGTTTGAAGTTGTATGACTGTGCTGTATCGTTTAAACATTTGTTTAGTCTGAAACTGATTACTTAAATTATATTGTTTTTTCCCCAGCTGGTTGTTACCACAAAACAAAACCTTTTAGGTTGATACAACACCACTACGCTTTATGTCAGGTCCTGATCACCTTGTTAAGTTTTTTCCTGCAACAGCAACTGACTGGACCTACATTATTGCTTACATACTGTATAGACCATTTTGAGGAATGCAAACAAAAACAATGGTCCTAACGTATTCCCTGTCTTACAATTTTAATTTCTCTAGCTTCCTAGAATCCAAAAAGAACCACATATTGATAGATAATGTTGTGATAGCTCGATCTAACATTAAGTTATGATTGAATTGCCTCTTGTTACAGTTATGAAATAGTTTGATAACACGGTCTATACATGTGTAACAGGGTAACATTGTGCTGTAAACATTAAAGTGTTTCTTACACCCCCGGGAGCAGTGCGATATTCACTGGTCTGCTGATAGACTTTAGGTGTTCCTGGGTCTGTAGAGGAGTACGAGATGACTGTCGAGGAGGAAAAGGTCTGGCAGTTTGGAGAACCAGACATTCGTTCCTACAAAGTAAAGAAAAAGACAAGACATGAAAGTCCAAAGATCAGTTGACCTACTCTTTTCTCAGTATCCTCTTAACACTTCAAGAGTTTAGACTTCAGTTATGTTAATGTGAGATCAACAATGGAAAAGTCCAGTCTGTATTTGTTACTGTGCAGAAGCTGTAAAAATAATGCATTGTGGTGGTGCTGAAAACACAAACCTGTATGAATAAATGTCAAGAGTTTAAAATAAATAGTACAAATGTAACATCTTCAGACAATAATTATTATAGGTTAATCATTATGTACATGATGACAAAATGTGACTTAAGCTTTTAAATAAAACCAGACTAACATGTGCAGACATTCATGTGAATAAATCTTGACTTGACTAAACAAATGCAAAACATTACATCACAGCCTAAATATTATAAAACTTAAAAGTAGATCATACGTAGAAAAATGATTCAGATTTTAGGATATTGTGGTTTTGTTAACATGGGCTTGAAAAGCACTCTACCGTGTTACAATAAGTCTTTGTTTTATTTATTTGCAATCAAAAGAAAAAACTAAAACCTCACCATGTTCTCCATCATTCCACTCATCATGCTGAACATGTCCATGAATCCTCCACCCTGAAATAAAAAAGACACACAATGCTCAAAATGCTATGAAGAAAAACTTCTGCTTTAAATCATATAATAATTTTGATAGACATTCATACCATTCCCATCATGCCAAAGGGGGTCAAGGCTCCAGCTTGTGGCTAAAAGTACAAAACAGCAACGTTAATATTCAATATATCCTAAAAGTCATTAACAACTTATAATAACACCATTAGGATGACCTGATATATCAAAGAGACCATCAAAAAACAAAGAAATAGTTCACCCAAAAATGAAAATTTACTCACCATTTACTCACACTCAAGTGGTTCCAAACCTTTAAGAGTTTCTTTCTTCTGCTGAACACAAAAGAAATTCATTTGAAGAAAGCTGAAAACCTGTAACCATTGACTTCCATATAGGAAATACAGATACTATGGAAGTCAATGGTTACAGGTTTCCAGCTTTCTTCAAAATATCTTCTTTTATGATTAACAGAATAAAGAAAGTCAAACAGGCTTGGAACAAATGAAAAGTGAGTAAATGATGACAATTACATTTTTTGGCTAAACTATCCCTTTAAATACTACATAATAATATGCAAATAGATTAATCAGACGTGTACCTGAATGCGTGTACGTGGATGCTGGATCTGCGGAGTGAGAGCAAACGGATCCATCCCGAATGACCCAAACATACTCCTCATCTGGTGCCTGTGTGCTGCGAATGGATCCCTATCCCAACACAACATGAACTTTATTTATTTACAGTCACAAAATAGTCCAAATAGACAGTGTTTACCTTTATAAATGCAGTCAATGGGGTATATGTACACAGACTTTTCATTTTCAGCCAGCCAACCTCAGCGCTTCTGGTGAAATGTTTTTCTATTATAAAATCGCCACGTTTAAGGTTTGATTTCTTTAAATATCACTGATGTCTAATTTATATACGATATAAAGTGGGTCTCAGATCAACAGAGTTTCTGCGCTCACCTGCTGATCCTGACGGCACTATCGCTTACACAGTCTTTCATCTTGTTTTACGCTGGAACAACTCAAGGAATGATCAAATCTATTTAACTGAATGTATTGTAACATTTTACATTACAACATCGATGCTGTAAAAGGAACCTTCTGAAATTGAAAATACTTACATTAAGCTTTCACAGGAGGTTTATCATTGGCTGAAAAACACTAGCTGTGCATATACCCCATTAGAAGACTTAATACTCACATCATGTACGGGCTGTCATCCACATCATTCAAGTAACGAAACATTGTTGATTTCCTTCCTTGGTCGGTTCAAGTCAAACAAGTAAATAAACTTCAGTCTCTTCAATCAAACGCCGGTGAAACAGCAGCTCTGGGGCCCTTAATTGGTCAACCAATCATCCAGCTCCTCTGGTAGCAATGCAAAACAACCTCAACTGGAGAATTACAAAATTCGGCCTGCACGCCCTATAACTTAACCACAATCAAAACCATCAATAAAGCGAGCGAAATGGACAAAGCACCCTGATATGTCAAAGCAGCTCTGCAGAACATTTACATTAAGGCGAATATTATCGAGTATTCCAGGCAGGTGCTAATCCAAAACAGCCTGCGAGCTATTTCGGGCTGTTAGCCTAGCATAATAACATGCGCGCGGAAATGATTCGTATAAAATCACAACAAGGTTCTGAAATACAGGTCAATGTGTTTTTTGTCCAGCTGGTGAGAAAAACAGCAGCACGCAGAGCAGACGGACCGACGGAAATAACCTCCGCAGATGAGCACAGGAAGACAGTGTGACAAAGGAAACAAAACCTTGAAGATCTTGGGCGAAAATCTTGCGCTTCTAAGAAATTCACGCGTCTTTTTCGAAACGCTTCACATCAGGGTCGATGCCATGTCACGCGCTGGCACCAAAAAATTAAGTCCAGGCAGGAAGAGATGCCTTTGAGAGCAAGATTACGCGCATTTAGTAAAACAGGCACAAAAGCCAAACGTCAACAGAAAAGAGGGATGGGAGGGGGAGGAAGAGGAGGGGAACGGCGCAGCGCACATTCCGGTGAATAAAGATAAAAGTTGCTGCCAAAATTATTGTTTTCTTTACGAATGCTTGTGTATTATCGTCAACTTAAGGTTATCTGATTGATTTTTACATCAGTTGTGTTATTACTGATACTTGGGCATAAATACATTGTGTACGTTGAACATGTATGTTCATATTATGTCTTTCGGAAATATAACATAATTTAATATTACGTAAACATAATTAACTTTTATTTTAGCTAACTGATTTTTAAATTAGTTTTAATATTTATTTGGGACATTTTATATCCTGTTTATGTATGGTTAATGTTTTGGTAGTATTGTGTGCAATAACTAATGAACCCCCACACATGTATGTGTCCATATAGCCTATTTGTAAATGAACATTGGAAGAAATTAATCCTATTTCAGATTATAAATGAGAAATATTAGAGATTGTGGCTTGTAATTGTCGCATCACTAGATGGCACTACACAGGATGCACAGAGAGAACATTTCTCTGACAGAAGAAAAGCCACTCGTTTCCCACATTAGGTCACGTGACTGATGAAGTTACTGTGCCATTTAACGTGTAATAAAAGTAATATTACATTTGACAAGGGACTTTTCTTAAAATTTTGGACTACCCCTTTTCCACTACACTCTTCTAGCTTGGGTTTCTTTTTACATGTAGTTTTGAGTATATTCCATTAAAAAAAATTACAATGGAGTTAATCGCAAAAATGTACATTATTCTTTTTCATCGTTGCACACTTTGTAATTTTAAAATTTGTTTTAAATATATAGCCACAGCATTTTGTCTAAAACATTTTGCTAACATAAATTTCAATTGGTTCTTACACATCTTTACTATTCATAAGCTAATACAGAAATTGTATAAAAAATATCTTAACTGATAAAATATGTAGAAAAACAAGAAGTGCAGGCATTTTATTATCATTTTCAGATTTCTGGACTGCACTCTTTCCATTTCTCTCTATTTCAACTTTTTTTTTAAAGTATATTGAATTTGATATGTTACTGAATTAAATATGTTCATAAAATGTTTACATTCCAGTAGGGCTGGTCTGATAAACAAAATTATATCAAATTACGATAAAATTTATTTCAATAACAATGAAAAGCTCTGCACCTTTTTTTATTCTAGATTGATAAGAGACATATACACAGCAGAAATGGGAATCTAAAAGTGTTTTGATATTTGATTTAGAGTTTGAGATGTTTTAAATTTTCGAGATGTATTGAATTCTATACATTCGAGATGTGTAAAATTTTCGACCTCTGAAAATTAAGCAGCCGAAAATATATTAAGCCATTTAATAGACCCTCTAATTGTTGTGGCTTCAGTCATTGTTGGGGTTCTCTTTTTTAAATCTGGAAGCATTAACAACTGATATTAAAATATATTGTTATCTTTCATTATGGAAAATAATTATTATGATTAAAAATTACAGCTAATACAAAAAAAGCCCAAATGCCTGAGGCCCATAAGCCCCTTTTACAAGATGGAGATAACATGTTTCAATGGCCATCAACATCTTAAATCTTCAAAAAAAAAACATATATATATATATATATATTAATTTTTAGATTAAAAAAGTAAGTATGTACATTTATAAGATGTGCTTCATATTATATAATCATTACATCAAGTTACAAAAAAAATAGTTAATGCTTATGTGAGGTGTTTTTACTACAGTGTCTCTGGGTGAAACAGTAAGTCTGATATCATTCTGTCTTCTGGCTGCCATTTTCAGTCTCACTTTTTTCATTTTTATTTTTTAGGAAAAAAAATATTCTGGAGTTTTTCTTTTGTTATTTGAGTAAAATTTAATGCAAAAATACATATTATTTGTGGTACTCTGCTATTCAGTACTCTCTATGTTTACACAGCTATGACAACTTCCACTGCCAACTTATCCACCATATGTTTTACACAATGGATGCCCTTCCAACTGCAACCCAATACTCCCCACAAGTCCAAAAATAAATGTGGTACAGGTGAATTGGTTAAGCTTAATTGTCCGTAGTGTGTGTGTGTGTGTGTGTGTGTGTGTGTGTGTGTGTGCGTGTGTGTGTGTGCGTGTGTGTGTGTGTGTGTGTGTGTGTGTGTGAATAAGAGTGTATGGAGGTTTCCTAGTGATGGGTTGCAGCTGGAAAGGCATCTGCTGTGTAAAACATGTGCTGGATAAATTGGCGGTTCATTTCGCTGTGGCGACCCCAGATTAATAAAGGAACTAACTAACTATCAAACATAGAGGTCAGTAGTACATGATATCAATCCGAGCTGTGGTGACATTGGTATTGCTGTATTTTGTAAATCATTTGGTTTCTTATATTTTATGGAACATGTTTTTTGTTTTGTTATCAAGTTTGAATGAATGGATGTTAGGCGGAGGGCCCTTAAATGTTGTTGACAATGAGGGGCCTTGAAGTCAAAAAAGTCGAGTTATTGCCTCTTCAAAGCTGTAACTGCACCCCTAGCGGCTGCAATAGTGAAACTACAGGCTATGCTGGGCGTGTGCGCGGAGTGGGCAGGCTGAACATCGAGGCTCTACGCTCGGACGTTTTTCGCTTTCATTCACGTCAGATTGATACTCTCAAACCCGGACGTAACCAACGCCTAGTCGCCGGAGAGAAACGGTAAGCTTTTCTTAAACTGTATCATTATTTTATATTTGTTCTTATCGATCAAACAGCAGTAAAACAGCACGCACTTTAGGCCGGGTTTTAACCGTTGTGTAGTTTTGATTTGGGTTGATTTGTGGCCCTTTCAGTAGTGCTAACGCGTTAGCTTAGCCTCGCAGCATCCTGTCGCCTTCATTACTCAAAACTTTGATTTATCTACTGCTAACAAATCCCGCCAGGATACATCTCGCTATTTGTGATCGCCTCAAACTACTGATTTCTTCATTATTTATTGTAGTAGTGAGTAAAGAAGACTTATTAGGTTAAGTGTCTAACTTTATTAATTGGGGAAGAAAGCAGAATTAAACAATTTAATTACAAAAAACGAAATGTATTATTAATACAGCACGTGTCTTGTTAAGAAAAACCACGAATGAATCGACGACAAACAAATTAATGAGGATTTTGCTGAAAGTCTGTTCATCTTTTGTTTGTCGCGTCCAAAATTAGACTTCAAAATGTGTTTTTTGAACAGAAAGAACATTATACAGGTTGTCGGATATTAAATATCTTTTACAGACGGTAATACAGTTGAAAATCGGTGATTATATTGCACTAGTATGACAAAGTGACAAAGTCGAGTCTTCCTCTAAGCAGCGCTAATATGCGGAAGCAAATAAGATCGGACGCATTCTTCTAGATGTCTTTCTGTATGCCTGCCTTTGTCTCTGAAATCAAATCACATCACTTAGTGCTTATTGACAATTCTGGTGAATGCATCCAACCTGCCAAACAGAGGCGACAGTGAACGCCCGAAACAATTCCTGAATGATTCACTCAGAGGCATTTCTGAATCCCATGAGGGCCAATAGCAATTGAGGTAACTTGATTTCTAATATGTCTCTTTCCTTCTCCATATAGATGCAGACCATAAAATGTGTGGTGGTTGGGGATGGAGCTGTCGGAAAGACCTGTCTGCTCATCTCATATACAACCAACAAATTCCCCTCCGAATATGTTCCTACGGTAATGGAGTAAATGGTGGAGGGCTGCGGGTCAGAGATTCAGGGGGAGGGTCACAGTGATCCAGTGAATATGTAGAATAATGCCAGCTATTATCTGTTGTGTGTAGGGCTGCACGATATTGGAAAATTGGACATTGTGATATTTTATTTTTCTGAGATATACATTGGGATATACTGTGATTGAATAGCATTGTTCGGAAAGAATCTATATAGTTATTGCTAGCAAACCATTAAATATGACTTTTGTTTCAATAAACGCCTAATTTGCGCCTTATTAATAGATATTAATGTAGTTTAGGTAATGGGTTAGGGATATAGACTGTTTCAATGTGGTCATGTCATTGTCCCATGAACATTTTCTGCTTGTCAAACTATTTTATACCTGTAACAAGAGACAATTCAGTCATAACTTAATGTAAAACAACTATCAGAACATTATTTTTCAATATGAAGTCCTTTTTAGATTCACGGAAGCTATAGAAATTAAAAAATGTAACCATTGTTTTTGTTTACATCCCTGAAAATGGTCTATAGAATAAGATAATGCAGAATATGTAGGCTACAAGTAGTAACAAGCAGCCAATATCTCAATAACATGCATGCTAATAAGCAACTTAATAGTGAGAATTGGTCCCTAAAGTCAATTATCAAATGTGTTTGTTTTGATTGGGATGATTCAGTAGGGCAGTGAATCATGCAAAAAATGTAATAAACAAACTACAAGCATAGATGAACGCAGTAAAGCAAAGATAAAAGTGAAATAAACAGTGCATGCTTTATCCTTATGTATATTTAAAGGTAGAAAAATACACTAAGTCAACTCAACAACATATTATGCATATCTTTTGATGTGACTTTACATTGCAATAGCGATGCTGAAACGATATATTGTGCAGCCCTAGTTTTGTGCTTTGTGATAGTTAAAATTATAAGCTCCAGTTTTTTTTAGACAAATATAGATACTTCCCTCAGTAAAAGTGCTATGCTATTCTCTAAAGTAAAATTAAGTGCTTGTTTTTAAATGTACACGTGTATTAAAAGTACTGAATGATGCATGTTTTTGTATTTAACAAAAACAAAACAAGAACTTGCCTAAACTCGACAAAACTGATGATTTCTTCTGTTAATGATAATTCAAGTACACTGTAAAAATGCTGGGTTCCAAACAAATCCTTCATGTTATCCCAACATAAAGCGAAATTAACTTAATTGTTTTTCAAATTTAAGTAGATTGAACATAAAATAAGTAAATTGACCCTAAAAAAAATCTGAGAATTTTGTTGATTCAGCTCATTTTAAATACGACATATTTTTCATTGTTTTGAGTGTACGTAAACATGTCAAAATTATAAGATGTGCCATATAGCCTAGTAAAAATGTGTGTTGACATAATAACATTCAGTGTTAGACAGATGCCACAGAGCGAGATGTGTGAAAGTTTTAGACGAATGCTTTTCAAGTATTTCAATGTTATGTATAGTCTTTTAACTTCCCCATTCGGACAGCATTGCACAAAAATGGACGTCCACCTTTTTAATACTTTCATGATTTCACTGCCATTCATGACCTAAAGATGATGTTTATTTACTATAATTAATACTGCAACCTGGCATTTGGTGTTTGTTGCACCATCAGACTAGCAAAGACTTAAGCTCAGAAGAGCTACCATTGTTTTTGAATAGTTAAAGTTTGAAAATGAGATGAAGTACAGTTTCCCTCTTAAAAAAGACTTGCTGTCATACAGTGCTCAGCATAATATAGGACAGCCCTTTTTGAAAATGAACATTTTTATCCATCAGTAAATAATAGCAATGTATTTTGGTGCATTTAAACAAAACAGATTAATTTAACAGATATATTTATTAAAATAACATTTTAGTCATCAAACATATTTAGATATTGAAGGGTAATACGATTAAATTCAAGCTAAATATTGCAAAAAAAAAACAACAGATATTACACAAAATTTAAGCTAATTTTCTCTTGATTTTTTTTACTTTTTTATTTATTTGTATTTAATATGTTTCTATAAGGTATAAATTTGGGTGTGCTAGTTTTTGAACCGTTATCGTAAGTTATTTTGTTAGATAAGCTCCAAATTTGGCTTCAGTAATGACCACTCTAATTAATTTTAGATATGAACTAATGTGTGACGTCCAGTGAATATGAATTGAGGGAGATTTGTGTTTGTTCGCAGGTGTTCGATAATTATGCTGTCACGGTGATGATTGGAGGGGAACCGTATACACTGGGGCTTTTCGACACAGCAGGTGAGCACTGGACATTAATGTGATTTGATCATCTACAGCATTCAAGTGGAGATGTCTGATGTGTATAGCCAGTTATACAAAAAGAAGATGTGAAAACTGGAAATAGGGCCTCTGCTCATTTCTGTTTGGACATCTTCCCGTGCTGAACACATGAAAAAAACAAACATTCAATTTAGTCCAGATCATCTGACACATTTTTCTTATCATTTAATGTTTACTGTCTAGATAATGTTACATAGTTTAGTAGGTGAATGTGTATGTGAATATTTCTTTAGACAATATTAAACACATTTTATGGTGTCAGATGATATCATCGATATATGTCTTGCTTGTTGACGTGTGTTTAGAGAAACTAAATATAAATGAAGTGTAATGGGATAAACAGCACATCATACAGTTCTACAGTTTTGATTGGTGCACTATTGATCAAAGGTTTTGGGTTAGTAAAATATCTTTTTAAATATTAGCATTATGCATCAAATCCTGTCTTTGCTGGAGACTTTGGTTTCATGAAGAACCTTAAACATCCCTGCCCTATTTCCAATGCTCAAAATGTTCTCTAGGTATTAAAATATTGAACACACAATGGAAAAAACAGGTTTGTGGTGCTACAAAGTCCATTGGGGAACAGAAAATGTTGGTTCTTTGTCACTGTGGTAAAAAAAAAAAAAAAAAAAAAAAACCTTTTGGGAATTTAAATTCTGTGACTGTTGATGGGCTTAAAAAAGCTTTTATAAACACAAATGAATCTTACATACACGTATCATTGAAATGTTCATTAGCATATTATTGTTTTCAGCTTTTGTGTTTATGGTGGATTAGATTTCTCTTCAGTCGCAGCTGTTCTCCATCTCCATCTGTTCTACATCTAATATCAAACCAATAGATCAATTGAATCTTGTTTTTGTTTCCCAGGGCAGGAAGACTACGACAGACTTCGGCCTCTCAGTTATCCGCAGACAGACGTCTTCCTTGTCTGCTTCTCAGTTGTTTCTCCTTCCTCCTTTGAGAATGTGAAAGAGAAGGTGCGTGTGAATCAGATGTTTTCTGCTGTTTTACTTATTTAAACTTTGAGCCACTCTTCTCTCCACTTTTTTCTGATGACTATATTGATTATTGAAGCTCAACTAAACTGAAACTAAGTGTTTTTAATCTTCAGTGTTAGTATTTATTCATATCTGGTGTGGAGATGTGTGTAGATAGATTGTGGTGTTGAGACACATTTCAACACATGGTGTGTTTCGTACAGTGAGGTTTTACTGTGACGCCGACGTCACAAGCTGTTTAGTGTCATTAAAACACTTCTTAAGCAGTACCTGATTTTCCTGCTGTACTTGTAGTATGAAGCTCATTTAAATCGATCTGCTTTGTATTTAAATGGATCAAAGCATACTTGAAATGCACACTGTTACACTGTAAAAGAAAGGTGGCAACCTAAAATTTTAAGCCAACCAGCTGCAAGACTTTTTTGAGTTAACTCAACTTAAAGTCAAGTGCAGTACTTGGGTTGATAGTTGAGTCAACTCAAAAAAAAGTTCTGCATCAAATTGATTTACAATTTTAAGCTGAGTCAACTTTTGTTTTTACAATGTACTGACACACTTCTAATTTCTTGTTTGACTTTCAGATACTTGTTTATCCCTGGTATTCTTTTCAGATCTGTTATTTTCATTCTTGTCCTATAGAACATTTTGATGGATGTAAACAAAAACTATGATTCCAGCTTATTACCCGTTTTAGATTTTTAATTTCTATAGCTTCCGAAAATCCAAAAAGAGACAAATATTGATTAATAATGTTATGATAGCTGTTTTAACATTAGGTTATGATTGAATTGCCTCTTGTTACAGTTATGAAATAGAAAGACCTTTTTATTGTATTTTTTATAGCAAAATGAATAAGTACTCAGCTTACAATTATAGGACATTTCAACCAATATACGGCGCTGTGGATTAACTTGAATCACAACATTAATAAAGGGCAAACAACTTACATATTTATGGTAACCTCATGCATGTAAATTAAAACAACATTCTTGAGTAGTGATGGCAAAATGAAAAAAAAATTACAATAGGTGCTTCATTCATGGACTTGCTTGACATGTGGAGCTTCATATTTGCTTGTTTTTGAGTTTTTTTTGTTTAAATATATAGACCATATTGAGGGATGTAAACAAAACCAATGGTCCTAATGTATTTCCTGTTTTTAATTTTTAATTTCTATAGCTTCAGAGAATCCAAAAAGAGACCCATATTGATAAATAATGTTATGATAGCTGTTTTGACATTAAGTTATGATTGAATTACCTCTTGTTACAGTTATGAAACAAGGTCCCTCCCCACCCCAATGGCTCTTTAAAAAATGCATCTGCCAAAACAATTGACCCTTGATCTAAGCATTCTCAAATCACGATGGCATCCTGATGCAAATGTTTTTTTCATAAAATGTTTTCTAAGAAATTAAACAAAACTGAAGTTTAAAACAAGAACAAATATCAGCTTGATATGAAAATGCTTTTCTTTGCGTTGATTTAATTGCCACATACTTAATTTTCAGTTATGTGTTATATATTATATAATTAAGAATATTACACTGTCTGCTCTCTAGAATAAATGACTGCGTTTTTGTCATTTGCAGCTTTCTGTTATTGTACTATTTTAGGAATAAATGTTTAACAGCCTATTAAAGAATTTCTGCCATCATTTTAACATTATCATGTCCTTCATAATAGAATTTAAATCATAAATAAATTAAAATCTGTTTTTTTTTCACACCGATATATTCAAGGATCTTTAAGCATTGTAACGCACTACTGACTTGGAGCGTGAAATGTGTTTTGACTGCAGTTTATTTTTGGGTGTAGAACTGAAAGAGGAAAGTTTGAATGGAAACAGCCAGCACAGATTGATTTGTAAGATAAGGACAGTTCAGAACAGAGATTTCAAGTTTATAATGTCATGTAAGGGAGCCCACAGGAATGTTGATTATTATTTCTGCCTGATTTTATCAAGAATTAACTGATAGTTACTCTATTTTACAAGCTTCATTAATATAATATTATAATATGTACACACACTGTTGTCAATGTCTGTGAGTGGTAAGATTAAGTATATGAAAGAATATTAACTATAATATACAAGTTATATACTTTAATAATGTTTTTTAAAAGATTTACATTTAAAATAAATGATTTCATTGTGCACAATTTGTTAAATAATTAATACTTATATTTAACAAAAATGCATTTAATTAAAGTAAATCTTTACCTCATTCTAGGTTTTGAAATTTTGATGTTTAAAAATGTGTACAAAAAATATATAATTTTTAATCATTATTTGAAAGGATAGTTCCCACAAAAATTAAAATGGGCTCTAAGATTTTCACTTTTCTTTCTCAAATTTGTTTTTGATCAGATTGGCTGTTCCAGTGTTTCACACTGTTTCTAAATTTGTTGTGATTTTTTTTTTATGATTTATTTAACATTTTACAAACATATCAAACAACCGTTATAGCAATAATAATAGAAAAAGTATAAATAAATAGATGAAAATAATAATAAACTAAAGCAAAACCCAATTACACAAATAATATAGGGGCAGATGTCTATATTTATGCAACAATCTAAATTTTACAATTTGAGTAATGAAAGCTTACAAACTGATGTATTAATATTGTCAAAAGCCAGCAAGGGTGATCTGTGTAGATCCAGCTCAAGAGATTTTTTTAACATAAGAAAAAAGGCCCTCCAAGTTTTAATGATGTTTGTTCTTTCAATGCCTTTCGATATCTTACCATTAGTTGTTTTGCACTCTTTTTCTCTCAGTGGGTACCAGAGATCTCTCACCATTGTCCACGCACTCCATTCCTTCTTGTGGGCACTCAGGTGGACCTGAGGGATGACAGTAACACTGTGGAAAAACTTGCCAAAAACAAGCAGCGCCCCATATCACCCGAGAGTGGGGAGAAGCTGTCCAGAGACCTCAGAGCTGTCAAATACGTGGAGTGCTCCGCTCTCACACAGGTTAAAAGAGCAGCCGCACACACCTGTGATGACATAACCCAGATACTCACTTATCACCCACGTGACCTTTGTCTTTTATCATCTCTTTCTAATAGAGAGGCTTGAAGAACGTATTCGACGAGGCAATTCTCGCCGCCCTTGAACCTCCTGAGACCAAACCCAAGAAGCGCTGCGTCCTTTTGTAGGAATACAAGCAGTGGGTGATGCACTCACTCCATCAAGAGAGGCAGATAAAAAGAAACATGGGGGTTTAAGGTTGGTAGGGCTTGGCTTTGGAGTGGAGAAGAGTTATAATTGGGAAAAATCATGGGAACAAAACGGCAAAAACAAAAAAAAAACTGTGATACTGGAGGAATTTGGTTGACATAAAAAGGTATTGATAACAAATAAATGCACACTGTGCCTTTCTAAATGTTTCTAGAACAACAGAAGAAATTCGAGAACCCTGGAACCAATAATTCCCCTACAAGACAAAGAGTATATCAATAAAAACAAGATACAGGTGCACTTTATGCATGTGATGTCTTACAGAACAACATAAAGATCCACTTTAATGCTTTAAGTGTCAGTCACACATAATCTCCTCCCCAAAAAATGTAATCTATGTGTGGCTGTGGCACAAATACATGAGATTAAAAGCTTCAGGTTTCTGACGGCCAACAAAAATGAATGATTTGAAATTCTTTCACTGGACAAACAGCAGGTTCTGTCCATGACACATGCTTTGCTCTAAAGCCGCACAAGGGTGGTTCGCACACAATGCCGATAAACAGCACATTTCATAAAGTGTAAAGCCGAACATGCTGACTGCTCTGATGAACGCTTCTGCAGGACTCAGCTATTTGTAACCTGTGGATAGTGTGTGTGTGTGTGTGTGTGCTCGCAGTAAGCTGATTTCAGCTTTCTTGAATCTCCTCTGAGCTTTTTGCTGCGTTGCAGAATTGCCATTGGCACAAAAGTGATTCTTGACAAATTTGCCTTTTAGTGTTGTTATGAGTTCCGATTTGTGTCTTTTTTTATTATCTTTTATATACCATTTCTAGACGCCGGGCTCCCACAACACCTCTAGGCAGGTTCTGTCATGTGTGTTGTTAACGTGTACTGGACTGAATTTGGCACAAAAGCAAGCTAACGTGATTGTCCTGGGCATTTAATTAGCTCTAATCACTTACAGTGGTGTTGAATTGGAGAGATACAAAATAAACTGTAATCATTTTAGATATTTTAACTATTAAAAACTGTTTTAATGTTGGATCCGAGTGTTATGGCCATAGGAGTCTCAGTCTATGACCACATCCTCTTCTGAGTGACCGGTGTTATATGTGGTTTAAGAGAGATTGAAACCTGGATTTTAGTTTGCAAACATTTATTTCTTCTTGTATGAGCCAGACTGTTCTCTCCTTTTGTGGTTCATGCTCCTAGAATCTCTCTCTAAGTGCATTTACTCTCGTGCCATCTGCTGGCCATTTAGAAAACTGAACTTATTTTTATTTTTTTGCCCGTTTTGTTGTCTTTTGAGTATGATGTATTAAATGTATTACTGTTTTTTTGTTTTTCTCTTGGGTGAATGAATTTAGCGGTGATATTTTGAGACTTGAGTTTTTTTTTTAAATGACTTCTTATTTTATTTTTTTGCTAGAGTACCATTTTGATTGTGATTTATAAATAAAATAACATTTTGAAATATAATATTTTGAATAACCAATCTTAACAGTCGTGTGAGTTAAAAGGAGGTTAAAACTGATGATGATGGTTTAAAATGTGGCCTTTTAGTCCTGCGGTGTTTGGAATCTCACTATATTTGTAATAAAATGGAGCGACTGACACACAGCTGTAGCTGTATTCTGATTATTAGATGATTGTGGGACTGTGTGGTGTGTGCAAATAGACAGATACTTAAAGCATGTACTATTCAAAAGTTTGCGGTCACTAAGGACCTTATTATACGGAAACAATGCTTTTATTAAGCCATGATGTAATATTGTTTGAACGCTTTATAGGGCACTCATTGAAATACACATTGATAAAACACTGGAGAGCCACTGGGGGCTATTACATGACCTTTGAAATTTTATGACTTAAATGATATTATAATCAGTCAATGAAGTTGCCATATATGGTTCTTCACCCAATAGGGTTAAAAAATTTCACAAAGGTCTTAGTAGAAACGGGTACCACTTTTCATGAAAATATTAAATCAGTAAATTTTATTTTAACATTTCCCAATTTAGATTGGGTGGACGCAAACAATTTGTGTTGGGACAACAAACAAATTAAGTTTACTCATTAATATTTACTAATTTAAGTGGATTGAACATGCAACAATTCTGTTGTCCCAATGAAATCTCAAGAATTGTGTTGCTTCAGCTCATTTGAAATGAATAGTTTGAACAAGCAACAAAAATATTTTAAGTGCTACTATCAACATTATTGATTGATTGGTTTATTGTTATTCATGTTCTCTTGTATTGCAAATAATTTTAATAATATTATTTTGCTATTATATAATAGAACAAAAAATACAGAAAAAAAAATTGGGGGGAAGAGGAAAAAGAAAGAAGCAAAAAAACTGGAATTGGGGGAATTTGAGGTGTTTCTACTAGGGTCTAATCACTGCTCTCTACTTAATAAATGGATTCCATATTACATAAAAATTCTTAGTTTTATTTTTAAGGGATTATTTTAGCTTCTTAAGTTGCTAGCAAGAAATGACATATTTTTATTAATGTGGAGCAATGGAGAAGATCTTTTCATTTCCAATTCAGTAAAATCTATTTATACATGCCAGAAGGGTTATAAATCTAATCACCGTACATTGGTTTTTTAGATAATTCTGCATCATCACTGACACCAAATATAGCTAAAATAGGCCCAGGGTAATTGTTTTACCATCACTTCTGATATAAGCCAAAATCCAATGACTATTTTAGGACAAAAATAATTAGATTCTAACTGCAAAACATTAATACAGACATAATTATTTACAGGTATATTTAATGTAAATAGTAGAACATAGTAGTTAGATACTTAATATAAAGGGGTTCATTTGGAAAACTGCATTACAATATTACCATTCTTTCTTTTTTTATTTAAGTAATGAGGCCTTGGTGAGAGTAGGAAAATATTCTCATCCCAAACTTTCGAACACTGGTACTATGTATATTAGGGCTGCACAATATATAATTTTAGCATCGATGTTGCTAAATTCGCAATAGTCACATCGCAAGATATGCAATGTTGAGTCTGAATTATAGTTCACCATAAGCTCAATAATTGCACATGAAACCGTATTTATGTGTAATTTATGCAAAAAAAGGTTTCTCTATCTTAGAATTTTTGTCTTGTTTCTAGTCCTTTTCTAGAGTTTCTTATCTCAACATTTAAAGGTGAAAAACGAGATGATTTAAACCCCCCCCCCTTTAATTTGGACTTTCTGAAGTTGAAAACTAAGCAATATATTTTTTCTTGATCTATGATAAATTTTTGACATTTGGACTAGAAGGAAAACAAAGTTGTAGTAAGAAATGTATTTTTTGCATTATGCTTATTTAATTTCTGTACCTGAATATTTACTGTTAGACTCTCCATAAAACCGTCAATTAGTGCTATTAAAACTGATCTTGTGAAACTGTATTTACATTGCAACATTTATCGCTGAAAAATAAAATGTTGCATTATCAGATTTTTCAAATATCGTGCAGCCCTAATGTGTATGTCCAGTGCTCAGCATAATTGATTACAGCCCGTTTTGAAAATGAATATTTTTATCCAGGCAATTTTTTAGGTATATTGGTGCATTTAAACAAAACAGCTGTATTAAACAGATATGTTTATTAAAATAATATTTTAGTCACCAAACATTTAGAAATTGAAAAGTAATACAATTCAATTTAGGATAAATATTGCAAAAAAATAAATGACATCACTAATAATTTTTTCATGTTTTTTTTGTGAGCTGCGTACTTGTATATGCTGAGCATTGTATGTGTGTGTGTGTGAATTTGCATCTTTTTTATGTATGAATACATAATTAACAAACAAAGCCTCTTTCCACATTTGGAATGTCAAACAATTTTATTTAAGGTCATATAGATTGTAAAAACAAGACAATGGTAATATACGAGGCGGGCCTCTATGTAATACGACAAGCTGATATGAAACCGCTGAAGCCAGAGAGTTTGCAAGGGGAACCTTCATTCCAAAAATAACGCCATACAGGCATGATGAACTCAAATAAATAAACACGATCAGCAAAACTGAAAAGAAATTATAAATACAGAAAAAACAGATAGAGCAGCTCTGCGCTAGAGTTTAATGCTAATGCCTCATAGACTAAACTAACATTATTCTCCCACTGTTATTCAGGGATTAATCTCAGCTTTAAGAGCGTTGTCTGAGCGAGTTAGTTAATGGTTTTGTATTTGATGTGTATTTGAGCGTTTTAGAAAATAAGTTGTTTGCATGTTTCAATACAACACTTTGTTTCATTGAAGATTAACATAATTGTAATGTCATTTCTGAAGTTTTAAAGTCACCAAAATTGACATCATCCAGAGTGTTTTAGATGGAATGGTTGTTCATATTGTGGGCAGTTTGCTCTTAGGTCTGACGTGAGATGAGGTGTTTCTGGTGTGGTTGCGTGGTTTTTCCAGGTGTGTCTTATTCTCGGCAGGTGTGTATGAGCACCGTGTTCTTACACTGCTGGCAGCGCACTGAGCAGCACCATGAAAACTTACAGGAGCAGCGCTGAACCACCTCAGCCCGACCTGCTCGAAAACCTGGGCCACAGCATAGCAGCTCACATCCGTCTGGAGCCAACCGCGAGGTTCCTGGCACATGGAGGCACAATTAGAAACTGCGTGTACAGCGTGATAAAATAGCATGCGAAACCTGATTTTTACCATTACACCGTCGCCCTGCAGTGCCAGGAATTCCGTTGTCTGGGTCCAGTCGGCAGAAATCTGGTGAAGGAGCCAAGTAGACCAAGTCCCGTGTGGCTGGTGGCTTTACTTGGGGGTCCCGTGGAAGGAGAGCTGTGCGAGAGCCCACACGCGTTAGCCGCACCTAAACACCAAGAACAGATGTGACCCTTGATCTTGCTAAATGTTTAGAAACACAATTATGTTACCAAATACTTAAAGAATGTACATTCAATGTTTGGGTCAGTCAGGTTTAGTTCTAAAGA